GACCGCAATCAATTTCAGGATCTTGTCCTGACTATTGAACACAAAAACATAGGAAGCAGGGAAACCCAGGAGTGACAACCTTCAAAGGCCATGTGCAATCCTAGTTTCCTTAGGCCACTTTCCAGACAGTTCAATGGCAACCTTTGTGAAGAACCACGGGGCAGCCTTCAAGAACGATGCCTTGAACACACTACCCATCTCTGGGTACTCATTGGTCTTCTCCATGTTTGTGTTCGATGGAGTGAAGCTCTTGAAGTGTAACCTAATCCTGAGCATACCCCAGGCCAAGAGCACCAGAATGGTTTTGAGTCCAAAACAAAAGTTGATAAACAATAGGAAAACTGACACCAATGGTAGGCTGCCAAACTACTTGGCCTGATGGCTTTCTCGTCTCAGGCGGTCTGAAACACTGCGTAGTTTTTCAGACATGGTCCCATCGCCGCCCAAGAAATTACTTCTCCACCAGAAAGCCAATGCCGACGCATACAAATCTCGAACGGTTCCCAGGAACAATGCGCGCATCGGATCCCGGAAGCAACTCTCGAGCGTCCAACCCTCGACGCACGCCCATGCACTCAGGACCTCTGATGAGCCGCGAAGGCCGGTTGGGTTCAAGAAGGCAGAGGACAAACAAGTGGGAACGAGATTTGAGGTCAACTGAGACTAAGACTGATTTTCGTCAGCCGATGGCCAGCAGAAGCATAGAAGTTTTTGTAGGTGAGCTCTGGAATCCAATTCTTGTGCTTCTTTTGGGCTAAACAGGTTTCACAAATCAGACTGTGCAAATACGACCGAGGAAACTGGTTGATCTCCTTTCTTGCCTTGGCATCGTACTTTGATCCAAAGTAACATGCTCTCCACCCCAGCGCTAGCTCAGACCCAGCCATTTGGGCGCGATCTCCTTCAAGCGTTTCCCCAAAACAACCAGTAGCGGGCGCCTCACCCCTCGCCGCCTGGCGAAGTGACCACCCAACCACTTGGGCAATGAGCTGGTTCACAGCATTCTTCACCTTGCGCGGCACAAGCGAAGAAGGAGGTTTGTTCAATCCTTGAGGGCAGACTCACAGAGTTGAATGAAAGTTTTTCAATGATTTGATTTCTAAAATTCTGAGTCGTTCACATTGGGGTCCACCATAGCTTCATGTGGCACGCATGCTATTGGAAACTTGATGTCCCAAACATGTCCCTCAGACAAAGCTGATCCTACAGACCAGACAACAAACTCTGTGTTGTTGTAGAACTCGGCGCCGTCGCAATGAATGAGTAACGGCAACAATCCTAAGTTGGCACGCGGCATGAGTTCAAAGTTTATACTATCCTCCTTCACCATTTCGAATCTATACCAAACCAAAACTTGTCCAAATCTAGCGCCGCAGACGGTCTCTTGGAATGCCCGAGTTTGTCAGGCACGGGTGGTCCTTCCACGCTTCGAGGGCTTCGCAATGGGCCCAGAACTCAGCAATGGCAGCGCCAGATCTGTAGCCCGTCATGGAGCGCGCAAACTGAAAAAGCGAAAAGGAAGTGTGTTCTGGGTTGATTGAGAAAGTGAAACATGTTTATATGCACAGTAGAGAATTGCAAAAGGCCTGGGCTTGGCCAGCTTTGGCTAGTTCGTGAACAATTTCACGAGGAAGTAGTATTGGCACCTTCACTAGCTCTGTGTCGCGTTTGCCCCTTACCTTAGCTCAAAGAGATTCTACTTAAACGATAGCAGAAAATCCTAGACACACACACCAAACAAATTTCCATACCTCAACATCAAAGCAAGAAACACGCTCCACCAAAAATGATGAATTCAATCCATGGTTCGTTCAGCTCTGTTTCTACACAGTATGGCGACAGCGACACACCATACAGCTTGTTGACCCAACGGTGCAAGTCTCTTTCCTGGTTACCTGGAAATTTGCCCCCTGCACCCAAGGAAGCAAACGCTTCCAAAGCCTTTGAAGGAACAGAATCAGCGACGTTGGCTCTGGCCAAGTCAGCTATTTGCGCCACATTGGCGCGCCCACACCCAATCATACCTTTGCAACAAACCACCAGGGCCATGTAACTGCAAACTGCAGGCAAAACAGAGCAACCCCAACTAGCTGAGGAGCGAAGGTACATTTCTCCTGTGTGGCTAAGACGGAGTGATTCATAAGGTAACCGCCTCACTTGCAAAAAGTCTTCAAACTCACAGGTGAAGAAAAGTAAAGTAGCCGCCTTGCAGCCACTGAAGTATTCTGAAGAGCGGCACCTGCGTGCAGGGGAAATACATGGGAATACTTTATCACAGCTTGGAGAACTGGGACTGCAGAACAGCTAGCGCCCTCATTTTTCTTTGGGACAGTGTGGCGACGCTTCCAACCGCACAACCCTGCAACTGCAGTCTATCGATATGTGTATGCAGACTGCATTGGCTCCCAGGGCGGTGAACTAACGCTGCCAATGTCGCAGCTTTCAAAAGGTGAGCCGGTGCAAAAGTAAGAGGAGATATAAACACTAGAACTGGACGTTCATGTGAACAGCAAAAAGTTCTGATGCATGCCTTTAACCTCTAGGGACCCTTGCCTTTTCATACTATTTCATACTGGTTGCAACGCACATGGCTCATGTAAAGATCAGGCCGCATCTCCACTCTCAAGGGGCGGCTCTTCACCACCTTTCTTCTTACTCTTTCTTTTTGGCTTGGTTGGAGTCCATTCTGCAAGCCCTTTGCGGCAGCCTCGAATGGGTGTTGACAAGAAACGTTTTAATTGGACTCAACTCCCCAAACTATATAACTGTTAGAGGGGACATGTTCTTGAACACCTGGGTGGTTTGGACATGTAGGGCCTCAGCTTTGGTGAACCACTCCAACTTGGAATCAATGATGCTGAACATACATCTTCTCATATTGGGCTTCATCGGTTGAACCTGACGAACGAAGCCCTTGGAGTTTCTTGTAAACAGTTTCCATCTTCTTGCTGAACTCCAGCATTTTGGAAGCGAGGTCCCCAGAGTACTCAAGGCTCTCCAGCGAAACACCGAACTTCCTTCCATCAGCCCCTTTCTTGAGGCATTCCTCCATCTTCTCGCTGGCCCGCCTCAGAGAGGCCAGAAGGTAGACAGGGTGAGATGGGCCTGGATGGGATTGGAGCTCGATTTACTCTGGGTGGGTTTGGAGACAACTAGATGCTTTCATCCAATCAACTAAGAACATTGAGACAACAGTTTCGATGAAGACATCAACTAAGATCCCTACTCGTCCAAAGTCTTCGGTTCAGCTGGTTCTGTGGCTGTAGTGTCCTTCTTAGGCTTCTTGGTGGTGGGTTTGACTGCAGACTTGTACACAGCCTCCTGCAAGTTCTTGCCGCCTTCAGCGGTCGCGGCTGGGGCTGCAGGCAGAGCACTTGCTTGGAGAGGACCACCCTCGACGGTCATTGCCTCAGCCAACTCCTTGTTGTTGGCATCCCGGATTGTGACGGCTCAGCCGTGATGACCTCATCCCTGAGCTTGTGCCCACTCCCCACGTAATAGAAGATCTCCTTCAGGGTGGGGTAGATTTTTCTGGTGAACGATTCGTTTTTCCAAAACACATTTGGGAAACATGAAACCTTTGGACTGGAGCCCGCTCCTCGTCATCGTTTGGGAAGTCAGGGTCGTAGTAGAACACGCCGCTTTTGTGGAGCTTTTGGATCAGCGCATCGGCCTTGGCGGCGGGGTACTTCTTTTTGATGTCGCGAGCCTTCATTCCTTCCCGCTGACTCCGACTGGTCTTCTTCGATTCTGCTCGTCGCTGGAATTCGACTTCCACCCTGGTCAGGGCTTGGTTTTCGCAAAGAAAGTAGAGCGGGAAGACATCCTTTAGAAAAGGGTGTAAAGAGGGTGATAAAAGGGCCAGTACGGGGCAACCCAAACAGGTTGTTGAACAAGGCAAGATACTGGCTCCCGTCCTTTTTCGCGCGGAACAAATCACCTTTGTCTTTCAAGTAGTGGGATGCCAGGCTGACAGGGAACTGCTTGTGATCCAAGCATTGTCGACTGAACTTCTCCCACTCACTCTTGTTGGTGACGCCTAAGGTTTGCCCAAACCACCTATGGCAATTTGGAGGGATATAAAAAAACAGGGTGATTTACAACTCCCACACCTCCCTTCAAAACTTAAGGTGTTTGAATGGCATGCGAGTTGCTGTTGGGCGTAGGTGCAGCGCTTTTCGCTGGAGCTGGGACAACCTGCTGCTTCGCCACTGCAGCCTCTATCTTCTTCTTTGCTTCTTCCTCTTGTCCTTCTTCTTTCTTTTTCCCATTCCTCAAAGTGCTTTTTCTTGGCGCTGGTACCATTAGTTCGTTCTCACTCTCTTCCTCTTCAGCACCTTCCTCTTCATCTTCGGATCCAAACAGCTCACCCAGATCCATGTCATCGCTGTCGCTTCCTTCTCCTTCATCTTCGTTTTCCTCCTCGCTGGATTCCTTACCATCTGAATCCTCAGAGATTTGTGGAGAGTCTTCTGAGTCATCCGAGCTCTCATCATCAGACTCGGAACATGGGCAGTGTGGAACAACTGCATGCCCATTCCCACCCTTCTCTTCATCCCCCTCTTCATCATCACTACTATTCTCCTTGACTTTTTGGGCGGCGACAAGTTGCCCCATTTTTTCGCTCACCATTGCATCAATCGCTTGCTGCGATACTTCCTCCATGTGTTGTTCAAGAGTGATGCCTCTCTGCGCTGCCTCTTCCCTCCAAGCTGAGACGTTGGCGATGGACAGGGTGGGCGAAGGACTCACCAGCCTGCGCGGCGAGGGGGTCCTGAAAGCTGAGCTGTCTCGCTCCTGGTCATCACCATCCTCCTTCTTCTGTTTCTTGCTTTTGCTTGAAGCCTCCTCAGTATCGTCCTTATCGTTCTTCGTGGCCCTCTTTTCTTTCTGGTCCTTCTCCTGTGCCTCTTCCTTCGCCTTTGCTTCCTTAAGCTCCTTTGCTTCCTTCTGCTTCGCTTCCTTCTCCTTTGCTTCCTTCTCCTCTCTCTTCCTCGCTTTTTTATCTCTTTTCTTTGCTTCCTGCTCTTCT